TCACAATTGCTAAGTCATGGAAACAACCCAAATGCCCACGCAGATGAATGGATAGAAAAACTGTGGCAAATATACTCAATGGAATACTATTCAGCGAAAAAAAAAAAAAAAACAGCAAAACCCTGGCTTTTGACAGAAAGTGGAAGAATATGGAAGATTTACTGCTGAGTGAAGCAAGCCAGGCTATAAAGGAGAGACACTGTATGTCCCCACTTAATATATACCGAGTGTCTGCACTCTATGACTGAAACTGATTGACTGAAGGATATATAAACACAGGAAATGGGTGTAAATACCAGATAGAATTTGTGTGAAAGAGTAGGACCTGAGGAAGGACATTTAGAAGAAAAGTATGAAGGCAAAGCATTAATGGGACAAAGAAATGTGGTATTATCTGTTGAAGATATTTCATAGTTTTATCAACTGGACTAGGGAGAAATGTTCACATACTGAAACATTCACTTTGTAAGCTAAATAATGAGATTGAATGTATAAAATAAAATGAAATAAATAAAAAAATTATTAAGTGAAAAAATTAATAAATTTAAATAATTCTTTTTAAAAAATTTAATAATTCAAATAAAAAAGATTACCTGAGAGGAAAATATTTAATATATTATCTATTATTTAACAATTGACAAGATTTTTTCATTTAATAACCTTATAGAGGTAGAAGAACTCTCTTACCTTTTGAAAGGAACAGCATTTTTCAGAACCATCTCCACATCAGCAATATTTGCTCTAGCAAGATCTGCCACAGTAAGGAAGCCAGAAGCATAGAGGGCCCTGGCTCGCTGTGCATTAAGTAAAGATACCCGGACCAGGTCACACAGCTCCCTCTGAATGCCAAAAGTGAGACGCTTCTGAAATTGGGAAAGCAGTAGTTCCATGTTGTGCCAGCCCAGACGGTTGGAAAATACTGTAATCATCCCTAGAACATGCATAGAATATTTGTTGAATTAAAAATTCTTTATAGACTAGTTCTCCATTTCTTTAAATATACTCTTCCCCATCCCACCCCCCATGGAATTGTAAAGTTTAACAGGCCTAAGGTGTAACTTAATTGGGCAATACATGCGCTGAGCACATTGAATGTCATTTCATTATCCTTTCTGAACTTAACATTTTAAAAACTGAGGCAGAGCACATAAGCACAAAACAAGGAAAAAACCTTTACCTTAATTCATTCTTCTTTCTCTTTTACTTTTTTAAGAAAAAGAGAACTCTTAAAAATAGGTAATAATTGGCCCCATGGTCTAGTAATTGGAGGAATGAGATTCCACATGGTCAACCACTGCTCGAGACTCAGCCACGGAAGCTTAAGAAGCATGTGTGTGCTTACCCAAAATCCCAAAGGATAGAGAAATGGAGAAGAGATTTCAGTGTGACCATGCCCCATTGGGAGTTCTTTCCCCTCCTCCCCCACCTTGTGTGTCTCTCTGGCAAGCACACACACCCTCTGGCAATGAAAAAAAAAAGGGGGGAGGGAGAAGAACTTCTTTCTTCCTAGAAGAAAACAAGAGAACTGACTTAAAATAGCCAAGTGTTAAGAGAACTGTAAAAATTAAAATTCTCATTGCTATTTTCTTCAAAAAAGGTTGCCCTTCTCAATAGCTTACACTCTAAAATAAATCAAATAAGTAACAATAAGAACAACAAAATTCTTGTACCCTCTTGAAACAAAGGGGCCAGGGCAACCAAGTATCAAGTTATTTAGGAAGTCACAGCCCTATGAGAACATTAACCTAGAGGCAATCATGGATCTGTGATGCCAATAAGATGGAAAGTGAACGCCTCCCTTCTTACTATTCTCTGCTCCCCATCTTCCCTTCAGTGTTCCCTCATGTGTACATGCCTCTTACACACATAAGGGTCCGGAATTTCCCTATTTCACTAGCCTGAAGGATATGAATTTAACATATTAAGGCAGACCAGTGCGTCCTTAGAAAAGAAGTAACATTTAGAACAAGCAGGAGTCCATAAATCTCTCTGCAGGTCCCATCTTCCTCCTCAGTAACATGTATTAATCAATACCTTGATGAACAAGGAAAGCCACTGAAAATTTGTTTCTGTTTTTTCTTGTAACAAAAACAAAAAAGATATAAAAAAAAAAAGGAAAAGGAAAACAGAAAGAAGAGGAACAGTCAGCAGGCTGCTAAGGAACGTAAGGAGAATAAGGGCAGGCAAGGCACTCAGCTAGCTACAGTCCTCTGTCACTGATCTGAGCCCAAAAGACCCACTGTTCTAAGACTTTTTTATGATGACATGGATTATACCAAATGATGGCACTTTTAGAGAGGACTACAATAAAAAAGAATTTTTTAAAAAGTAATCTTAACTTGACCTCAAATCACAGTCTTAAATATGAAATCCTTTCAAACTAACCTGCATAAACAGCAGCTGACTGCTGCAAAGATTGAATCTGTCCACGATTGCATCCATACTTCTGATTAATTTCCTTTAAGGGAACTTCACTGATTAAATCTAATAGCACAAGACTGGTGAAAAACCTGAAAGTCAATTACCAAAAGTACAGTAAGAGATCACTATTTACTGTTAAAGTGTGATTCATATTGTAAAACCACTAAAAACTAAAAGGCAACAAAGTTGACATACTTTGGGAAGAGTCTAATATGAGATAAGGATGTGGACAAGACTAACATCAATGTTTACAAATCAAGTTTTGACATGCATTAGTATACATGTGGTATACATATATATAGTATATAGTATACTATAAGAACTAATGTCTAGGGCCTCCACCCGCCCAGCCCAGCCACTCGCCAGGGAGCCCTCAGAGCGCCACCGCCATGTGTTCTAGGGCCACGGAGCAGCTCAAGCTGGAGGCGGGCGTGGAGAGGATCAAGGTTTCCCAGGCCGCAGTGGCAGAGCTTCAGCAGTACTGCATGCAGAATGCCTGCAAGGATGAGCTGCTGGTAGGTGTTCCGGCTGGAAGCAACCCCTCCCGGGAGCCCAGATCCTGTGCTTTACTCTGAAGACTTTAGAGAAGTTTGTTGGGGGATGCCTTCAAGCACAAAGAGATGAACGACTGCCTCCACGTCTCAAGAAAACACTTTTCTCTAGCCAAATAACGTTTAGATATTTCAGACCTTTTCTGTGGCCTGACCCTCTAGCCAAAATTTTATAGAAATTGAAGAGTTTTTACTCAAATAAGGAAACTAGGTGAAAGAGGAGAGTTTTAAACCATAATATCCTGGTTCTTTTGGCAAAGTGCTTTGTATTTAGGACAAATACTTTACTACCAAATATACCAGGATGCACCTCTTTCATAAGTGAATTGCTGGTGTTTTTCTATACCTGGAATACCATGTGTGTTTTATTTACTGGATGTTTACATTTTGGGAAGGAAGACATTTTTGTTTATTAAAACAAATGGAATATTTGTAATTCCTTGTTCCAGACACAGACTTTTATAGCATAACAAAATTTGTTCTTTTCTTATGAATTTATACTTTCTAAGTAAAGACTGGAAAATAAAAACTGGGGAAAAGAATAGGCTTTACTAATCAAATGCTGTCTTGTTTTTTTTTAAATGAGAAGATTGTTTTATTTTTAACACTAAAGATGAGAGCTGTTCCTTAGCAAATTTGTTTAGAAAGATCATTTTTATGTTTTGAGTTGCCCCATCCTGTATATGAAACAGATTTGATTACTGTCATCTTAAGTTCGTTTACTTTGTAGTTGTTCTGGTACTTTAAAAAGAAATACCACATTATTTCATGTCTTTAAAAATGTGACCTACCAAACGTTGCAGATGGTTTAAACAAAATAATGTGAAAATATTAGAACTTAACAGAATTCTTCATGTCACAAGTATTTTACTTTGAGGATGTGCCTTTGACTTAATCTGGAACATTTTAAAAATACTTTGTGTTTGTAATAATCTTTAAAGAACCTGGAAATAAAATTTTTGCTTAATTCATAAAAAAAAAGAACTAATGTCTACATGACAAAATGTCCCCCACATTTCAAAACTACTGACCATTTTCAAGAAATGAGACTTGGTTCAAGAAATATTATGGCACAAAAATTTAAAAGGTTTAATTTAGTCATATGCCCACCCAATTATATCTCAATAAAATGACAGAATCTTACTATAAAATAAAGTTTTGATTTGAAAGGCAAAGGTGTTACAAATAATCCAAGTGTTTAAATCCTTATAAAATTTACTCTTGACTATGTTATAAATAATATACTAGATACTCATTCTTCAAGAAAAATGATTTTACTGTATTTCAAAGATGGTAAAAGTCTGTCCAGTTTCTCCATCTGAATTTAATTAGCACTTCCCCATTGGCAATGAACTTCTAAGGATAATACGGAGTATAACCTCAAATAACCGCAAACCACTTTAAGTTGGCAGTTGTGATCCACATCTTCCTTAACAAAGGGAAGTAATGATCGGGACCAACAGATGACATAATGGCTATGTCGCTGGACTCTCATGTAGTCAACATGGTTCAAGTCCTGGACCTGGCAGCTTAAATTCACGCCAGGTGTGTGTGCGTGCATGCCCAAGATACAGAGAGGAAAATGGAGAAGGGACTGGGTGTGGCCATCCTCCCTAGGGTTTGGGAGGGGGGTGATTTCTTGCTTTCTGTCTCTCGATCGGTCTCTGTCTTTCTGGCAAGCACATGCACCCTATAGCAAGAACATCTCAAAGAAAAAAAAAAGGGAGGAATTAATGAAACAATCTAATCTAAAAGATCCTCATTATGTAATACCTGCTAAACTACAAGCTATTAAAAAAAGAAGAAGAAGAACATATGGACAAATTCAGTAAATACAAGAAACGAAAAAATTTTATGATTAACCAAAATGTTTATTTTATTGACAATGAATGAAAGTTAGACATCTACTGTATGCCAGACATTGTGCTAAATAAAAACTAGGAGTCCAGGCTCCTTGATATCTACCTTTTATGGATGGCCATTTGTCGGTGCTGTCTCTCAGTTCTGGCTACTACCTTTCCTTTCACACAGCGAGCCAAGAACCCTTCTTCAACGCCTACTAGCTCTGCCACTCTTTTCATAGAAATTGGCAACTTTTCCCATAAACAGAAAAACCGATACCAATCAATGGTAGTCCAATCTTCAAACATAGGTGTAATCTAGAGACAAAACATCATTCATTAGCTAAAACTTGCATTAAAAAAGGAACCAAATTATAAACATAAACTTCATAGTAAAGTTGTAATGCAAAATCAGAATTGAGAAAAATTACTGTGATACTGCCTCACTTATATGGAAATAGCACTTATTTGCAAATAATTCACTACCAGAACAAAAGGAAAAGAGACCAGTAATCATTTAAAGTAGATTTTATAGAACCAAAGTCTTTAATCATACTTGAAGTCTCAATGTTCTGACTTTAGGTACAATATTAAGTATTCTGTAGAACTTCCATAAAGAATCAGTGAAACAGAAAGAGGAAAGAATCAATATTCAGAGTTCATAGTAGAGGACATCTAAAGTGTTCAATATTTCACAAGAAACTATGGGACATACATGAAACAAAAAAATGTGATCCAGGGACCAGCAGTTAGCGTAATGGCTATGTCGCTGGACTCCCATGTAGACAACCACGGTTCGCGTCCTGGACCCGGTGGCTTAAAACACACAGGGGACGTGTGTGCATGCGTGCCAAGATCCCGAGAGGAGAACAGAGGAGAAGGGGTTGTGGCATGGCCATCCCCCATGGGGGTGTGATTTTTCTCTTTCTGTCTCTGTCTCTCTCTGTCTGTCTGGCGAGTGCACGTGCCCTATAGCAAAAACCTCTCAAAAAAATAAATAAATAAATGTGATCCAAACAACGGGGTGGGGGGGGGAACACCCTTTAAGAGGGTCCAAATATTGGAATACACAAAGACTTTAAAGCTGACATTATAACAATGGTCAAGGAACAGAAGAAAACCATGCCTAAAGAAGTAAAGGAAGGCATGAGGACAAAGTCTCATCAAGTAGAGAATATAAAAAAAAAAAAAAAAACAATAAAAGAGAGCCATCTAAAATTCTGGACTTAAGAAATACAATAAATGAGGGACAAGCAGATGGTGTAATGGTTACATCGCTGGACTCCGTGGTTCGAGTTCTAGACCCAGAGGGTTAAAACTCATGCAGGGTGCATGTGCATGTGGGCCCAAAATCCTGAGGAGAATGGAAGAGAATGGTTGCGGTGTGGCCATCCTCCCCCGAGCGATGATTTCTCACTTTCTGTCTCTCTATCTCTCTCCGTCTCCCCGGCGAGCACACTTGCCCTACAGCAAAAAACTTGCTTAAGAAAAGAACACAAGTTAACAAAAATTCACTAGAGCACAACAGTCTATCAAGTTGGCATAAGAATCAGTGAACATGAAGACAGTTTGAGATAACAAAATCTAAAGGGGAGGGCAATAACTTTCTCAGAGCTTTTACAGTTGCTCTCATACTTCATCAGCAATTATTTTAGTAACTCATACTCAAGCAAATTTTCATGGATGTAAACTGCATAAACAGTTGGGAACAAACATAACTTATAGTTGAAGAGCATAAAACCCAAGTGGTGAGAAAAGTGCACAAGACAACTAACCACAGATATTCGGCATACCAACATCCCATCAATCTTTTATGTTTTACAGAGGGAGTAGGAGTCACTAGGCAATCTGGAAAATGACTTTTATTATTTTTATAGGAAAATTTATTTGAAATAATAGATCATATTTATTAGACAGAAACATTTATCAAAAATAATCAGTCCTGGGACCAGCAGTTAGCGTAATGGCTATGTCGCTGGACTCCCACGTAGTCAACCGCGGTTCGCATCCCGGACCCGGTGGCTTAAAACTCACGCCGGGCGCGTGTGCGTGCGTGCCCAAGATCCCGAGAGGAGAATGGGGGAGAAGGGATTGCGGCGTGACCATCCCCCCTGGGGGGTGATTTCTCGCTTTCTGTCTCTGTCTGTCTGTCTGGCAAGCGCACGCGCCC